GTGTGTATGCACATATGGGTGTGTGTGCTCGAATTCCTGCACAGTTGTAGGTTAATAGCAAGACAAGCCTGCTCTGGGCCTCATGTGGAGAGAACTCAGTAGCTCCATGCAGGCCAAAGGTGGTAGTGAGGGGAATAGTGAGTTAAATATATCTGACCCAAAGCAGACCAATGCACTGGCCAGAGGAAATAAGCCGATTTCCAGAGAGAGAGAGAGAGATAGCGAGAGAGAGAAAGCAGTGCAGGAAGACTAAGAACTCCAGAGCATAAGCTTTCTTTTAATTACAGTGAACACACTTGATTGCCTATAAAAATATCAATGTTACGGACTAGAGGTTGTTTGCATCCTACCACCTTTGCATTTATGAGCATAATAATCTCCCAGTGACCCTTCTGGGGACACTAAGACCATGTGACTGGGACTTCACTCAAAAGTGACTCCTGAGAGGACTGTTGTCAGGTTCACTTTAAGCGAGCAGCATGTGTCTGACCCGCTGGCCTCTGGGTCCCCAGTCCCAGCATGCCATTTCAAAGCTCCCAGCTCCAGGTTTTACCTTAGATGAGGCTGATCCTGGTGAGTCTGCCCCAGGATGTGTTGACGTGTCCTGCCTAGAAGGAGCCTCTCACGGTCAAGGTCTTGGTCACTCATCCATTTGCCCAGTGGTCAAACTTTCTTTAAAGAGCTTCAAAGAAAACACTTCCTGAGGGGGCAATATATGGAAAGCTCTCTCCCACTTTTGTTTTAAAGTGGTGCTTAGAGAATTTCTTTTAAAGTGGAAACAACAGATGTTATTCCCATGAGCTAGTGCCCTCCTCTAACCTATGAACATCTATGAAATATCTTTCTAGGCAATGGAGGTAGACCTTTGGGTTTCCTTACCCCAATTAGTCAGAATTGACTGGTTGGCAAGGAGTATGTTTTTTTCCCCCCAACCCTTATTAGGAGCTCCTGGTTGGTGCAAATGGTCCATGCATTCAACTTGAACCTCCAGCCTCCCTCCCAGTCAGTCTGCACTTTATTCTGCTTGCGCAGGGCACACTGCAAACTCTGTCTTGGCCAGCCCCAATGCCTGGAATAATATGATTGAACTGCATCCTTCCGTGATGTTGTTTAACTCCATGCCCATCTCGACGAGCCTGTGTTCCATCAATTGACCAGGGGAGAAGCTTCAGCACCTTCAGAGATTCTGCTGAACTAATGGAATTTGCCCAAATCATCCCCAAACCACCATTCCTCATGTGGAACTCTTTCCTTTCCCTGAACAAGTCTCTTTCCCAGAATGCGGCTCAGGCATGTATGCTCTGTGTACACTTTGAGGTCTTCCTGGAATTATGTGGGTGCCACCCGGCTTGGATTGGATGTACCAAGGATGGAGGAAGCAATAACTGGGGTTGCAGCCATTTATAGGAACTCCTTTAGGCAGAGTAGGGGCTTAAGTCTTTCAGTGGACTGATCTAAACCCATAGCTGGCCTCCTCTAAAATGCTTTGCCTAGCGCTAGAGTAAAAAAGGGACCTATCTGTCCTTCCACCATCACTGTTTGTCTTAGACTGGTGCCAGGAATGCCCTAATAAGCGGATCCCTTAATCTAGGGGAGGGGTCCTGCATGCCCAGGACGGGCACTGAGCGACCCAGGCTGTAAAGGGACTGTTTACAGTTGACCCTTTGCATGTCTGACACCTCTTCCAGTTCAGAAAGGAAGCTATCAGCAAAGGGGCTTCGAATGACTCAGAGAGGTTGCGGTGTGGTCGCAGGCACTGCATTTAGTGCTGTGATTGTCTTCGTGTATCTATTTTATAGGTATCTATAAAATTTAGAGTAAACAGTGAAGCCAATGACATCCGTGATTTAAGGAAAGAAAACCGTAGAGGCCTAAGCCCACTCAGGGGCATCCAAAGAAAGGCCTGGTGATCTGCTTGCAAAAATCAGCCGCTGAACATCCCCAGGAACACTTTCTACTCGGACTCCCATGGGTCCCCCAGCTTTAACTTGGACCCATTAGTAAGTAGAAGTAGTCATTGTTGCTGTTGTTTTTACTTAACTAAAGAAAGGCAATGCGATGTATGCCTTTTGCCTAACAAGCAGACTTTACACACTTGCCGTATGCCACGCCTGCTTCTTGGTTCCCCAGGTAGGTTGAGTTGGAGAGAAACATCAGCTGAACAGGAGGCAGGCAGAGCTCCTGCGGTAGTACCTCGTGCTTGCCTGGTTATCTCTGCAGCAAAAACGCGAGGAAAAATGCTTTCTGTGTTCTCCTACCAGCACCTGCCACTTCTTCAAAGCAGCATGAAATAACAGACATCTGTGTCTGGAAAGGCGCCCCAGGGTGCAATGGAGAATATATTTGTTTGTTTTTCTAAACTACCGGCATTGCAAGTTGGAATCGCGGGCTGGTGAGAGGCTGCACTTGGTGCCCAATGTACGGAGACACGAGCTCAATGAGCTAGAACGCTCCCTCTGGAGAGAGAGCAGCGCTGCAGGGGCAGGCTGGCAACCTCTGGTTCTCACTCAGCCCCCTTCTCACTCTTCGTGGGGGGCAAATCGGCAGGGGGAAAAACTTGATAAATTAGGGCCAGCCCCACACTTTGGGCAGGACTTTTTCCTCACAGTCTGAAGGCCTCCCAGGCTGGGCCTTTGTGAGGTCAAACCTTTATATAAGGGAGTGGAAAGATAATTCCCAGTAACTGCCTAATGGTCAGGTTAATAGTTTTATAGGGTTTGCTGATTATCATTTAGATCCAGCTGGATGAATAAATTCAAAACAAAACGCCCCTCCAGTTCATCTTCTATTTTTCACCTTTTACTGGGTGCATTATCTTACAGGGGGCATTTTCCTCTGCAGGAGAATGGATCCACCTTTTCACGCCCCACCCATGTGGCCCTCACCTCTATAGTACCAAACCAAACCAAACCAAACCAAACGAAAAACCCAAACCCATTGCTGTGGCGTCATGCTATAGGACAAAGAAGAGTTTCCAAGTCATGGATCTTCATAGAAGCAGATTGCTTCTGTGGAGCAGCTGGTGGGATCGAGCTGCTAGATCTTTCAGTTAGCACCTAAGCACTTTATCACAGGCCTCCAAGGTTCCTTTCCTTTGTCATGCATTCCTTTTAAAGTCCTTAGTGACTGAGCATCCTTTTCTCAATTTAATTTTATTTCCTCTCCATAATTTGACCTCCATAGGGTGTAGAAACGTTAACTTAGAATCCCATGATAAAGAATTCTACCCAACCACTTTTGAAAGGGGAATGGTATGAGACTGGAGGGAAGTTGGCAAATGGAAGAATGAATTTCTCTGATTCAGCTGGATCATGCTCCAGTCTGTGGGTTAGAGAACTAGGTAAACTATGTAGGATTAAAAACCTAAAAGACTCTCTTTATCATGGGTTAAGGTCCTCCTCTGAAGCCTGGGACCCAGCAGGCACTCAACAAATGTTTATTCTTCCTCATTATGGCAGTTAGAACAAAAAACATAACCTTCCAGAAGAGAAAAATTGGAAAGCCAAAAATAAACCGCCAGTAACTAGGCATTGCTCACTGTGTTTCTACTTGCATTTCCTCTTAGCAAAAGAAGAAGTCTTTTGCAAATATATTGGTATCAATGGTTATCAATGGTTACTGGAGTGGGAAAGAGGAAGAAAGGAGAGCGGGAATGTAGTCAATGTCACGGAATGGTACTTGTATAAAGGTTGAAATAGCAAATGCTTGTTATACAAAGGATCATCAAAGAGTGCAGTTGAATTTAAATGATAACAGATTTTCTCCACAAATTTCTGAAGCCCTCTTTAAAAACGTTTTTTGATCTAGGAAGATGAAATCTGACCACACTTGTTTAATTTCACTGATTAGATAGCCAACTTGCCTACTACTGTTCTTGGGAAGTGTTTAGAAGAGTAGATGTGTGCGTGCACATAGTTCTATATATATGCATACATAGATGTATGTAAACAAATGTTGTATAAAACTAAACTAATTGCCATGTATTTGACTCATGGCAACGCAGTGTGCTTCAGAGCAGAATTGTGCCCCACGAGGTTTTCATGGCTCTGACCTTTCAGAAGTAGATTGGCAGGCCTTTCTTCCAAGATCCCTCTGATTGGATTTGTACTGTCAGTCTTTGGTTAGTAACCAAGTGTCTACCTGTTAGTGCCACAGCCCCTGCACACACACCCCCTCTATATATCCTACCTTACACACACACACACACACACAAACACACACACACCCACACCACACAATCAATAATGGAATTTCCTAAAAGCTTTAAGGAGAAGAGCTGTTAGCCCTCAATCATTTTTATTTTCCTTTATGATGTAGAGAATGAGATCATGCACCAATCAGATTCCTACGAAGAGCAGACTCCGCCTCTGCCCTCCTCAACACCTGGGAGGCACAGTCACGTGTGTTGCGTGAGAGCCATGTCTGAGAAGTCTGGGAGATTTCTGTAGCTGCCTCCCTCTAATAAAATCACTTCAAGGACAGCCCCTGTTGAAGGGGGTTCGGCTTTGGCCGTTTCTATCACCACCCAGTTAACCTTGGGGCGATATCTTTGTCAGGCGTTCTTCCCTATTGGTCATTAAAAGCAAAACAAGCAAAAACCTCATCATTATTTTCCATCGGGTTGCAAGTGAAGGTAAACAAAGGCAGCTGGCATCTGTCCCCACTTCCTCTCCTTCTCATTGACAGTCTTATGCATTCTGTTTTCCCGCCTGGGATATTGGGACTGTCTGCCCTAATAACACGAAGTAGATGATCACGCCAATTAAATAGCTAATTTTGGATCTCTAACGACCCCGACCCCCACCCCCCATGATCTGGGCAATTCAGACTAAGATGGGAGGGGTATGAATGACCCCACCATTGCGGAATGGCATTCCACGCTCTTCAAATCGGGACCCTGGCCACAGGAGATGCGGTTTTTGTGTTGGGCTCTGCCTACAACAGATAGAAGGAAGCTCGCGGCGGGGGGCTTTTTGAAAGGTAAAAATGTCGTGGCTTACGGTCCGCTGTGATTTCGTAGGGAGAGTGGAGGCGGGCGTCTCCGCAGGGGGATGTGCTCACGCAGAGGTGGAAGAGAACGTTTTCCTTCAGCCTGTAGCCGCCCTCTTTCAACCGCACAAATATCGATCGCTCTGAGTCCTCTCGCCGTTTGCTACGAACCAAACCAGAAACATTCCAACTAAGTGGGGGGCTTTGCCTTGTTTTGTCAAGCGGTCGCCCCGCCCCCTAGCCTTCTTCTTCACATTCTGTATCGTGTTCCCATAAAACTTAGAAAAGATTCCGCCAGGAAACCACAGAAAGCAAACAACCGATGAAGACGTGCTATCACCGTGCCTCTTCCTTAGCACTGACATTGGAATCTATCTTTTCTAGCGTCACCTTTCTCAGATGTTATGAACCCCAGTATCTACAAAGGGATACAACTCGAATCCGTGAATTCACAAAAGGCTCCCGATGGCAAGGTCTGACAGGGGTCTGTTAATTGAACGTGTTTATGGATTACAAGGAGAGAAGGGATTTTAGCAGGGTGGCTGGGGTTGCCGGGGTTGCCAGCACACTGGCAAAGGGAGAAACAGAAGTGAGGACTGTACCAAGACTTGGGCATTTCTTTCCGCATCCCACCACGACCAAGGCTATGTGCTGAAAAGAAAGAAAAATACTCAAGTCTCCTGATGTTTTGATAGGCAAAGACCTGTTCTGTTGCCCTTGCAACATCTTCCCCAGAGCTGGACATCAGATTCCAGGATGCGCAGGTCACCTGGGGAAACCACGTTGCCCGGATTTCCTCTCTTGCAGATTTTTATTCTCATTATTTGCAGGCCGTCGACTTTCAGTTTTGGCCACATTTTGTTTCTACGTGGTTCTGCCCCATTGGGGATGGATTCTGTTTCGCTGGGGTCTGAGATCCCACCGGCAACGGGAACAGAAAATTTCTCCCCAGGGAGGCCTCAGGGCGTCCTACCTTGCCTTTCTGCCTTTGCGCCTTCTGTGGGAGTCCCAGCGCGGTGCGGGGGGGCGGGG